AAATTGTTTCCTGCCTAGAATTAATGGCTAACTTGTTTATTTATCGTAACCGTAGCCATTTGAAAATCACGACTTAATGGTGGTCTAGCCTGGGCTTAACGCGAGATCGGTGTAAACCAATTCCTCCGGCTGTCGGCTGTTGACCGGAATCGCAAATTAAGAGGCCAGCTATCGCATGCGAGGCACTGAAGTTATGTCGCCTGAAAATTATAGTTATGCCACCGGAATATTTATTAGCAGTCGATGCACAGAGAAATGAAGTTGAATAAATTAGTTTAATATATTTCTTTAAGCCATGTTGAGACGAAAGGAGGTAATTAAATCGCAGAAACAAAAACTGCCAAAAATTTTCTATAGGTTGAGGAAGGCTTGTTTACTGTGGGTAATGTCGACCGAGATATCGGTCGATATAGCGGTCGATATAGCGGTCGACACTCGGTCGATAGTCGGTCGACACTCGGTCGATAGTCGGTCGACACTCGATCGACAGTCGGTCGATACTCGGTCGACACTCGGTCTATAGTCGGTGGACACTCGGTCGACAGTCTGTCGATATAGCGGTCGATAGTCGGTCGATAGTCGGTCGATAGTGGGTCGACACTCGGTCGAGACACGGTCGATAGTCGTTCCAGATGTGTCTCGGCCGATATAGCTTTTCGTTCACCGACACTTCGCCGACTTTTCGCGGCCATTTCGCCGACACTTCGCCGATACTTGGTCGATAGTTGGTCGATACTTGACCGATGTGTCGGTCAGTAATTGGTCGACACTCGGTCGATGGTCGGTCGACACTTAGCATTTCCTACATTTTCCTACATTTTTGCGGGACCACAGGAGCAGCAGATTCAACTTAGGCTGAGACAGGTTCGTTTAACTGCTAAAACTCAGACGATCGGTGATGATACAAACTGGAAAAAAAAAAAAGGTTATCATGTCCTTAGTTCCCAGTGCTCTTCGGTTCTCTTCATAGCGTAATCGCGCCTTGCACTGGCACATGTTCCCCATCGCATGATAACAGTAATTAATGACGTCTTTGCTTAAAAAAAAAGCCATAGGACTCACCTGATAAATTAACACACGACTAATATTCGAACGACAGTTGACCGATATACCACCGACAGTTGACCGATATACCACCGACAGTTGACTGATATACCACCGACAGTTGACCGATATATCACCGACAGTTGACCGATATATCACCGACATATGACCGATAGTAAGTCGAGGTGCGTCGACGAAATATCGACCGATACTCGGCCGATAGTCTATCTCACTATCGACCGACTATCGACCGACTATCGACCGACCATCGACCGACCATCGACCGACTATCGACCGACTATCGACCGACTGTCGACCGACTATCGACCGACCATCGACCGACTGTCGACCGCTATATCGACCGACTGTCGACCGCTATATCGACCGCTATGTCGACCGATATCTCAGTCGACATTACCCACAGTAAACAAGATCCAACATTTCTAGATGACCGTTCCATGCATGTACAATTTTCGAAGCTTATCTAATAAATCCTTACGATTTTCTGAAGTTTAATTTTTTCCATTTCACTCCCCAAGTTAAGCTATTTTTCGTTGAGAATTAAGGAATCCTAAAATTTCGGAACCGAAAATACAATAAAATTCTCACTTTGCTAAAACTTTCAATTGGAAGCTAAATTTTTCGGAAAATAATGTTGTCAAGCCCTTGTAATTTCGAAAAGACTGAAGTTGTCCTAGGATGCTAGGATGCATTTAGGAGGAAATCGCCGTCGGGTGCCCCTGACGAACGAAGGGCTATCAATCATAATTTATGTGAAGATATCTCGTTATGCTATGCTAAGACGAATCAAGTGCTGTAAACGTGTACTATATCTCGTTCTTCACAGGACGAAAAAAACAAGAATCTGTAAACTAAAAACACAGTAGAATTAGGGAGGATTGGTTGTAAATATAAAAGCGACTGTTTTTTTTTTATGTCTTATCTTAAATTCCTCTTTGTTTTAATTTAGCCCTCAAGGAACTACCAAGTTTCAGGAGGGTGACAAATCCACTCGTGCATCAAAATAGGCATTTGAAAGACGCAGTAAACTAGCGCGACACAATAAAATATTATTTTCGCGCCGCTTAAATAATAGTCTGCTACATAGTCCAGCAGATTGGTGTAAAAATTGTGGGATTTATGGTAAAAGCATCAAATTTAGCACAAAGGTAGATATTTGTTAGTTAATCAATTATAGCTATGGACCCACCCGGAATCTGCCCCCTAATTTGCATAAATTAAGGTAGAAGTGTCACCCACTGGTTGATTAGCATGAAAACGAGGCTCTTATACAATCTTTTATTTAACATGAATTTTTAACTATTTATAGAACGTGAATCAATAGCTGAATGATTTTTATTCGAGATATACCTTATGTGGATATTTTGAGGTAAGATACCTCGTTCTGGTAGCCTGACATTGCAACGAGGTTGTTGCCAATTAGTGTAGAATTTTGAAAAGTTAATGGAGAGATTAAGTGAATAAAATGGACACATAAATGTATTAAAACGACTTGTTATCATCACAGATACTTCTTTGGTGATTAAAGAACGTGTAATTAAGCTCTCCTAATAACAAAAAACATTTTACAACCAGGTACCAGGACATGTTTCTGTGTTAACTGATATCTTGGTAAAACAACGAACAACGTGTTCTTTTAAAGCTCTCTGAATAACTAAAAGAAATATGAAAAATATTTGCAAAGTTCTTATTTAAATACAACATGGTGCTACTTTAAAATAATGTCGCATTACAGATATTTGAAGACGCACTTTATCTACCGTTCTGAAGTTAACGTGTATGTCTTCATTTACGACCCTGTGGACTCATCCCTCTCACAAAGACCGCTGCAATTACACAAGGCTGTACACTGCAGCTCGGCTCTAACACATTTACATCTTCTGGTGCAGCCCTTGTCAATTTTGCATCCACACTTTAACAGCTCCTGGCAGCTCTGCGATGCTTCCGGAAGGGTCATAAATAGTGGTTCCTAAACTTGACTGGCACTCTGCACCCAGCCCCATTCACTTGGACATGGGAGGGGATGGGATGGCACCAATGCCTTGCCCCAGCAATGCCCAGCTTGGTATGCACATCGCTTTGTGTGCAGACGCAAGGCATCAGCCATGGGGGGAATACCTTCAATGTCTATCCCCTTTCGTGTAAAGAGATCTCTACGAGCTTCATTTACTTCCTTGCAAGTGTTAGAACGATCGTGTGTGATGATAACGTAGCGCTCCAGGGTAGGCAACTGTTCACAGACGTCTTCCAGCATTGGTGCATCGCTCAGGACTTAAAAAGATGTTGTCACTTCACTGAAAGTATCCCAAGCTTCCCAGGCTGTCTTCTTTCCGCGGTGTGCGAAGAAGGATGTTTGGTCACATCCAATGAAAGTGTGAAGGGCGAGAAGCGCTTGAGACTTAATTGGACCGATACGCTGGCAGATATCGTGAACAGACAGGTACCTAAAGTGTTTTCCAGTACCAAAGGCAACCCAAAGTTCAGATAGTTGAATCTGGTGAAATGCTGCCACTGAGATCACTACAACATCGGTGTCAACTGTGCGTACCACTACCTTAGTGAATCCTTGGTTTGCAGCGTCAGCCACATGCAGCAAGAGCCTTGTGTCGGCCTCCACATGGCGCCAGGTTAGTAATGTCGTGTCTTTCATTGTTAAAGAGCACTGATTCGTCTTTGGTAGTTACTACCTGTCCACGGACATTTGAGATGGTGATTAGCTGCTTGGCCAAGAAATGGAAAAGCTCCACCTTGTTCTCATCCACTCTCAGAAAAGCAGCCCAGTTTCCAGGAAACTTTGTGTCTGGCTGGACTCGTCGTCGTGAGCCATTTCCTCTTTTTCTTCTAGTGCAATCCTTCAGACTGTTTGAGAGGTATCTGTCCCAAACCACATCTACTCTCTTAACACTTTCAAGCTCCCTGGTTACGTATGGTATAAAAACAAACTGACTGTATTCTGCAAACGTCTTGCAAGCTCCGGTGGGTTTAAGCATGTTCACGATGGCTGCCCCATCTAATGATAGAACGTCAACGGAAGGCTTTTCCGCGTTAGCAGGACACAACCTTTATAGACAGAATAGAAAATCTGACTTGTTTCCTGATCTTAAAGTTCCATACTGAGACAAGGAAGGCGGGTAGCTCTGGTTCTCGTGAGTAAAGAAGCTGTCTAAGTCACTTTCTCTAACCTGACATGAGATGTACAGGCGTGAAAACAGGGAGCAGTTGCTCTTTAGTGAAGCTATTTTCATCTTATCCTTGGTTGTCTCTTTAGGAGCCGGAGGACTACTAAATAGCTGTATCTTGTTTCTCTTGATAACATCGAACAGCGAGATTTTTCGCTCATCAAGCCTGGTTGTGCAAAACTCCTGAAATTGCTTCTGGCCTAGTTCCTCTACAGTTCTAACTGATTTCACCACTGTGGCATCCACAATGTCTCGCGTATCTAAGATGAGCAAGTCCCCACTCTGGTCTAAGAAGGGTTACCCATCTCACTAATTACATTGGAAAGTGATTGGACCTGACTTTGGAAAGTACTTTGAACTCCTCTTGTTTCTTCGTGGTGTCGATGCTTTCTATCATCGGATATTGACTTTAGTAATTCCTGGGAAACCTCGAATTCGTTAATGATTGTAGACATTTCTGGCCCTGACACCATCCAACGCATTAACTGAGTTGGGCTCTCTGTAAGGCCAATAGCACCACCATCCCCTTTCACAGTCTTATTATTCTGTTCATGGGCGTGGTCAACGGGTAGTGCAGAAAATGACCGGTTTGTCTTGTTCACCACGAAATGGCCTTTCCTGAATTGTGCAGCCAAATTGGGTAGTTTCGTGTCCACGGACTCCATGTCGCGAATGTGGACGGGCAGCCATCTAGCATAGTTTGTGCTGTCTTTTTGTATAGTTCGAAGTTTCCCTCTCGAAGAGACCTTACAAATATTAATATGGTAAGCTCAAAGTGAAGGGTAGCTCTGCTTGCTTGCGCCACTCCATAAACGTTTTGGGTTCTCCTTCTTCAGAGATGCAATTGCAGTAGTGCTTGTATGCCTTGTCCATCAGTATGTACAAAGCACAAGCAGTAATCTGGTGGGCGTGTCGGGTGCGTGAAACGTGTGACGCCTTGAGAAAGGAGTCGGCTGTTCCAGGAGTTGTTATACCCGCTTGCACTAGGGCGCTTGTCCAACCACTACCCTCAATCCAGGTCCCCAATGCCTTAAGAGCGGCAAGCTCTGTATGCAGCCCTCCAAACATCATAACTAGGCTACTTTCTCCATACGTGGATGGCCAGTTCCACTGAATCTTCTTTGCCAATGCATAGATTGGCTGATCACAAGCAAGCACAGGTGTCTGCCCAGGATTAAGATAACTCACCGCCTTAATATTTACGTCCATTGTATGACAAATCATAGCTGGGGAGGCAGCCTCCTCTTGAAAGAGTGGGAGCAGTGAGGTGGTATCCAACTGACCTGAAGGCTGGACTTGATTGGCGTGATATGCTGCCCATGAAACTTTCTTTATCTCTTCCGTTATGTCTTTGTTAACCTCGTCTCTTACATGTTCCAGCCATTTATACTCCATACCAAAAGCTTGTGTCATTTCAAGGCAATTGCTCACAAATGACACTTGAAGACGCGGCACAACAGGTTCATTCTTCGAGAGAATGACGGGCTTAACAAGTGTGTAAGAATCCGGAAGTTGAGAAAGACGCTTTCTCTTGGAGGGCTGATTGTCTGTGCTAACTACATCCCGCGCTTCACCTGGTGCATCATCAGATGGGTGTTGGAATAAAGATATTCCTGTTCCATGGAAAGCACCTTGAGCGGTTGTAGATGATGGGTTATGGTCAATGTTATCCATGGCAGCTGTTGTAAATACTCCTTTATTAAGCTTGGGCGGGCAAACAACCCCTTCAGACTCAAACTGCGAACAAACAGTATTGCCCAAGTCAGTAGATAATTCTAGCACCCTGTCATACGAAATTGACAGTCCAAGACTATAGAGTTTGTCGACCAGTGTTCTCTTTCTTGTTTCTGTGTGAGTCATGAGGCCAAGATATATTGGCAGTGGTGGTTCGCGATCTCGAGAGTTGTAATAAGCTGAACCAGTTGCTTCACTAGAACGACGTCGTATGCTGGTATTAAAAAGCATGAGTTGTGATATACTTAGTGTAGGCTGCGCATCACTCACACGACTCGACGGAGTTTTGATATCTGTTGCCTCTAAGATCAATCCTATTAACGTTTTAAGGGACTGTGGAATTGATTCTTGTTGAGAATTTTTATCAAATGTTCCACTGAATTGCGTTTTCGTGGCTATTATATCTCGACGAATGATCTTGCTTGCTTTAAGTAGGATTATTGCTTCATCATCAAAATCCCTAAAGCGAGTCAGTTCGAGCGCTTTGCCAACCTCTTCACTGAATGCCATCACTATGTCTCGGTCCTTCTTGTGCTCCTGCAAGCCTGGAACATTTGCTAAAATTCTCTCCTTTAGGTCAGTGGAGTGTACTCGACCCGACAAATCGCTACCATAGTGTTTCAGGAAACGGGTGTCCATGGCTGTAAGCTCTGCTAGCGTAAACACGGAAATGCTATCCGCGGTCTCTGCACGAGTTTCTTCAAGATAAGCGACGAGCTGTGCTAGAGCCATACCCTGGATTACCTTTTCATCACTGCTTGCAGGATTCTGATTTAATCTCTCTGCCTTGTTATAGACCAACACCAGGCACTTTGCATGATACACGCCTTCCTGAGAGATCAAATCGCCGGCACTTAGTTTTGCGATTAGGACCTCATCTTGCAACTGATGTGCACATTCTCGCACCCTTACATCTTCATTAAAAGTGGACGCTTGATGAAGTGTACCTGAGGCACCGGAGCAGAAAAAACAGCTTACTTCTTTAGTCATCGAAGATGCTGGACCAGAGCTTTGTCTAGTGAATTTAGACTTTACTTGAGATCTTGGCAAATCATCTTGAATTTTCCTTTGTTGTGCTCTTTTTAGCTTCGTGTCACTAAATTTGTTTCTAGACGTTTTATGCCATTTCGCTTTACGCTTCATCAATGTTGGAGGTATGCCAACACCTTCATCCAACTTTTCTATATCTAAAGATGTTGGCATAAACCCTAGCTCACTGAATTTGTGAATACTTTCCGCTAGAGAATTATATCCTGTTCCATATTCGATATCTGATCTGCGAGAATTGCCCGGACATTAGGGCTGCTCCTTCGTTGTTTCCTGACACAAAATACATTTTTCCCAGTCCAAGGAAACAGTATCTTCGTCTTGTTTGGCCATCGAGGATATGTCAGACCCAAATACAATAACAATAAGTACGCACACCAGAAGAATCATGTTACGTTGGTCTGTATGATCAAAACAAAGAAACGCTGATCAAGGAAAGGTACTGAGCGACAAAAGGAGTCTTCGAATAAGATTTAATTGTACTTATAACTACAATGAAATTGGTTGTGTTTCAGTTCATGTTAAGATTGAAGTAAACTGAAGCCGAACTGCCACAGGATCATTTCCTGCACGATGTATTTATTGTCTTGTCAAAACTGTTTCGGTTCGCACCTGAAATAAGATCCTGTTAAACAAATTTAGTAGGATATTGTTTTTCTTACCTCCATTCTAGCACTGTGAAAGAAAATACGTTGTAAGGAGCACGAGAATCCTGAAAAATTAGCTTCTTGTTCTTAACCAAACCAGAGCTTTGAGAACTGTAAGCTCACTGTGAGGATGGTAACCAGGCTTGCAAGGTAACCACGCCATGCACAGGCTACCCAATGGTAGAATAACGTGATAGGGCTTACAGTGTAAATGATGGTTGTTTAAGGATATTTAAACGCTGTTAATATCAATCGTTCGGAGATTTTAATGTTTTCATCACTTTAGAAAAATTATTAATGCTTGATACTTACAAAGTGAATTGTTTTTTTTCTTTTTTGCATTTCCACGTTTAATGTTTTCCTGTGGTTAGTGTATTACTTTTTCATACCTGAAAATGACCTCGGAAAGGTCAGATCATCGTACCTTTAAATCATTGACAATTATTATGAAACAAGAAACTAGCAAGACGTTTGATATCATCATACGAAGGCTTTTGAATGTGCTGATCCGATGTAAATTACTTCTTTCAGCCAAAATAATCCTCTTTCACCTCATAACTTACGGCAAAAACCTTTTTGGGCTATCAATTTTCATTTGTGAGCATTTTTGCGTCTCATGTACAACACCCTAACATGCAATCTTGCAAGTTTTGAGTCAGCCTCGTTTTCATGCTAATCAACCGGTGGGTGACACTTCTACCTTAAATTATGCAAATCAGGGGGCGGATCCCGGGTGGGTCCATAGCTAAAATTAATCAACTAATGTATCTGTAACTGTGTGCCAAATTTGCAGCTTCTACCATAAATCCCACAATTCACCTAAAATTTTGCACCAATCTGCTGGACTAGCTAACACGGCCGCTTTCAGTGGAAGGAGCGTTGCGTGACGAAACTAAAACGGCTGTGTAGAAGACTATTTAAGACACTTAAATAATTGCAGGCCGTAATACTTCTGATGACGCTAAATCGGTCGCCGTAACTTCATACGCGAATGTTTGTTTAGATAGTTGTAAAACAGACGGCAACCACAAGAAAGACAACAGGATTATTACGGAATTTGGACAATAAGACTGAAGCATACGCGATGTAATATTTCAAGAAGAACAAATTTGGATACATTGTTTAAATACCGGTTTCGCTTTTTGTGTTACTGCCGGCCGGATCAATTAAGCAACATTGAAACCGTTTTGGAATTTTGGTACATCTAGAAAAGCAGGCTGGTTTTCATTTGATCACTACGATCCTTGCAATCGCTAAAAAATAAATACAATTTAGCGATCCTGGCACTTGGTGATTTCTATTTGATCGCGAATGCTGCGATCGGCAAGAAAGTGACTTCAGTCCGAAAGATCACTGTTTCTGAGAAAATTGCAAATGTGTTTTAAATTGAGGGAAGTTAAGATAACCTTTACACAGCTTCGTCAGTAAACATTTCTGGAAAGAACTTTGATTTTGTAATGCCAATATAGTTCTACCCATAAATCCAGTAGGTCCCACCTTTCACTGTTTATACTTTTCAAGCGACAACGTTTTTTCAATCAGATACTATCGCTGCGATCTCTGAGGTATAACTTTTTCTTTCTCGATAGTCACCAAAAAAGGGTGCCGTTCATAATCACTTACGGTTCCTTTTTGTAGAGGAAATTTATTTAGCTTATAGATGACACGCCTTGCGTGCTTTTGCGTACACTGAAAGCGTGTTGTGCTTTTTCACACGGAGCTTTTGTTTGAAAACTTTAACACGCTCTTTTGTTCGACTTGCTCACGCTTAATTGTCTCAAGCATGTCCTCTGAAACAAAAGAAATTGCTAATGAGGCAAGATTGCAAGCGTGCTATAGCGTGTTAAAATAAATTCTTTTGGTTTAAAGTGAAAGCGTGTCGTGCGCGTGCTTTCACCTTTAGCATTAAATCCTGTGGAGGCAGCAATTTCGTGTATGAAATTCTTCCATGGTACATTTTTGTTGACTTCTTCAATTTAAAATAATTTGACACATTTAAAAAAAATGTAGATTGAGTAAACTCTGGGCAAATAGCACTTAACGTCAAACCATATACAGACCTTCTGAAAGAAGAAAAGGAATGAAAGACTTCAATGAATATTTAAAATATGATAGCTTCACAAGCTCGTAACAAGCATAAAATGACTTGGGGGGCTGAGCGAGTGGCCCATATTAACCAGTTCAGTCTATAGAGTATCCCGCTGTTGAGCGCAAATACGTCTTCACCCGCTTTAAGGCTGAAAAAGATCTTTCACCAACGGCATTGGTTGCTAGCATGACATTTCCGGGTTGTTCTTTGATTCGAATTGTTTCTTCGACTACACCAGGCTCTGTGTCACTAGTGCATGGTTTTACCCACGATAAACGTGTTCCCTGCTTATTTTCGACTTGTTTGGATTTCCTTTTCGGCGGCTCTTGCGAAGACATTGTAAGACTTTCAATGTAAACGCGCAAAAAACAAAGTTTTACTTTAGTAAAGTAGTATATGTTACACTGGCGGACATCTTAGGAACCCAATGAAGTTCAAGACGTCAAGTCCAGGGATTGTCATTGGTGCATTTCGATACATTTTGCTTCTGACTTTAAGCAGATATTTTAAATTTGTTGGTTGTTTTTGGCAGAGCAAAAATACGATCTCGTTCATTTACACAATGCCAAATTGCACAGCAGAACAACAGTACATAATCTTACTATGATCGACAATACTTTGAGACTTTAGCTTCCATTGACAGCTGTCCATTTTAGTGAAAAATTCCACTTTTGTTACAGAATTTAATTCAAGTCTGAAAATTTCTTTGGGGGGACTCGAACCCCGCCTGCCCCTCCCCCTGCTACGGGCCTGGACTTAATGATTGATTGTCTTACTGACTGATTGAATTATGTGATATATAGGAGTTAACTCGCGACGCAGATGCTCATGACATTAGGAAGGGTGATATTCGTGCCAGTGATGGTACATGTAATACAAGTTTGACAGAGTTATTTTTATTTTTCTTCCTTATAAAGTCATACATAAAGGCATGTACCAGTATCTGTCCATCCAAAATGACAAATTACATTAATGTGTATAACAGTGTGAAAAATGGACCATTTAGGTTGTAATTAATGACAAGGATGATCAGGACAATAGCCATGAGTGTACGTGACTATGCCATTGGTTCTGATACAAGTCTACCTGAGGAATGTAGAAGATTCTGTTCTTGAAAATAGTCTCTCAATTCTATGGTTAACAAAAAAACAGGCAAAAGAACAAAAGGCCACTGCAATAGCGACCGTTTTGCAGGTGCTAATTTCTCTACTCTGAATGCTCTGATTGGCCAAGACTGTAAAAAGAACAAATTTTAAATTAAAGAACTGAATTGCGTTAGCTTAACAACGACTGAAAGAAATTATTATTTTGTCTACTACTTTGATATGTTAAAAAAGGTTGCATGTCTTAAAATTAGAAGATTCAGTCCTATGTGCCAAAGCCTACCTTTTCGTTGCCTCATAGAATAAAGTTGAAATTTTGCATTGAGGTTAAAGACAGGGGGATGAGGAACGTGACTAGCAAAATGACAGACAGGTGTTTTCTTGTCAAAAAATAGTTCGTGTGTTAGTTTTCGCGCCTTCTTGAATGAGTCAGTTCGTCGGTGAAGAGGTTGTAATTTAGTTCGTTTTGCTAACATTTTCCTACTGTTAGTAATGTTCTCAAAATAAATTCATGAGTTTTTTCAACTTTGGTCATCCTCCTAACATTATGTTGTTATTTTAATTTTTCTTGGATTTCCACCTATCACAAGCTTAGATTTAAACAGGAAAATGTAACACCTTTCAATCAATTTTGCAATTTGCCTGCCTAATTTTTACGTGGATCCTTAATTAATCTGTCTGAAATGGTGATAATGAACAAATGTTGGTTGACCTGCTGTATCATCATTTTCCCGTTCCCCTTATTTGTAAAGGGGTATTATTTCGATACTTTCTGCTCAATCCCATAAATAATTCCTAACAATTTGTTAAGGAAAATGTTTTGTCAGTGTATGGAAATCAGGGGAACAACTGCTCAGGTTGGAACCATCAGTGCCGACTCATCAAAAATGCTCCAATGCGTGTCTTATACTAAACCCTCTTCTTGGTGTATGTTTTTGTCATGAAACACTGTTTGATATATTATTAAGCTAATTTTGGTAATGTATATTAAAATGAACGGTTACGCAAATGCCCAATTTTAATTAATTGAATCTGAAGCCGCATCTGCCAATATCGTAATTTTGATTCTCCATACTGACAACCATACCTTCTTAAAGCTGTTCTATATTTTTCATTTTTTTGGTATTCTACAGTCACAAGTCTGCTAGACAACAATTTATTATTTTTGCCAACTAATGGTTGATGGGTTAACAATATACTTGATTTTACTGCATGTTTTATAGAAACTAGAAGCCCTTTACTGACGAAGAGAGCTATGCTGATGGAGAACGTTTGGGTGTGTCGAAATCACCTTCAAAACTGAATGGAAGGGATTACAAGTTATACAATGGTAATGTTGAGTGCAAGATGTTAACTAATAATAATAAATAATAATGAGTCTTTATTTCATCAAAAGATAAAACGACATATCTTATGTTACAATAATATGGAAGATAAAAAACTATGATAAAAACATCTACACATATAGATATATTAAAAAAGTATGTCATTACAATAAATGGAGCCTAAAAATCAACCTATTTACAAAGGTGTTCATAAAACTCTGTGTATTAATTTTCGGGCGTGCGCAGCCTTTTTTCCTAAGATTATGTACATAACTCTTCTGGACAGGAATGATATCTTTCAGGGGGTGGCAATCAGTTGATATTAATTTCTTTAAAATGTTTCGGTCTTGTTTATTTAAAAGGTTAAAATAGTAAATATTACTATTATGAAATAGTTAATAAAATAGTTAATCCTTCTGTTGTCCCTTTTCTGATGAATTGTGAGGAAGAAAATCCTACAATCATAAGCAAAGCAGTTCCCATTGGAATTCAAGACAATGCAACATTTGTCTTAAGCGCTGATACTCTGGAAAACAGAAAAGATTTGTTCTCAGACGAAAATGGGTCGTGGACCATGACGGGCTGTAAGGCCAAGTTTTATAGCATTGAAAGGGATGAGGATGGAAAAGTGGTTGAGCTCGACAAGGTCAACAGTCAAGCATGTGCTGATGTAGCAGTGAGAGGGAGAACCTACATATGTTCCTTCGACACCTCATATCACAAACACCGCGGCAAAAGGTCTACGCATGCGCCAGGTTGAGCATTTCCGGTCTCTTTTTCATTCACACTTTCCAGTCAGATCAAAGACTTCCGCGCGCTCCCGGTTTCATTCTGTGTGCAGCGTGTGGTTCAGTTGTTCTGCTTCATGCTGCTCGTGTTTTTGACTATTTTGTAGTTATTGAAATTGCTTTTATGGATAACCAGGCACAGATTCTGAAACAATTAGTCGATTAGATTCATAAAAGGTAAGATGATAATAACTCTGTGTAATTTTGGCTAGAGCGTCAGGTAAACTGATTTTCATTCACGAAAACGAGTTTTTGACTGTTATTTTTCACTTAATCCGGCTGAAACTAAGACATAAAAAGTTATCATTGCAAGCTTGTGTATTGTAGTTCTAATTTTCAGTTCTTCAGTTTCTCAGTCTTCATGTCTTAAAGCCGATTCGAGCTTTATTTGGAAAACGACAACACACAATCGCTTTGTAGTTTTATTTACCAGTGAGTTTTACCGTGTTTTGAAACGAAACTCTTCTGAGTTGATTGCCATGAAACATAAGCTTAATTATAATGTTGAGGTTGGCAGCAAGTTGACCACTCTATTTATTTTTTTTCATTCTCAGAATCAGAGAGCGAAAGCTGGTTCGATGGCCAGGCTTTTGAAAGTCGAACTTTTCATGCCATGTATCTAGCAGCTGGAATCGTGTTTGCTTGAGATGCAGCCGAGCCACACAGTCTGAAATTATTGAAGTCTTCAACCAAAGAACAACCATGTAAAAGAATTAAATAGGTATTTTCTTGAATGAAAGTCATTTATAGGCATGTTTAGTTTCCCGGCACTGAAAACTCCGTGTGTTCGTGACTGCAGTCATCAAAGTCAAAGCTGTTATTAAATCCCGCCCATCTTTTGTTTTGAGTTCTTGTTTAAAATTATTGAACGGACGAAAATTTTATTTCCTGGTTTTAGTGTTAATGATAATGATGATGTCTTTATTTTGGTTTCTTTCATAAGTATTGTTATTCTTTTCTTAGTTATCGCCTTCTCCCAAATTAACTTATGCCAAACCAGTAGCATGCAAGAAAGCCAGTCTCGTCTTGTCGAGCGCTCTCGACCTGCAAACTTCTAACATCATTTTCACCGTTGGTGCAAACAAATAACCATGTGGTGCAAAAGTTTGACGCTAGAAAAATATATAAGCTTTCGAATGAAGTGATTTTTTCCGCCCCCTTTTTTGTCTGTTTCTCCCTTTTTGCTTTTAAACTTGGCGCGACGGCAATGTTACGCTTACGCAATTGGTTTATATACTAGACCGGAAATAAAAACTGACCGGATGTTAAATTTTGTGCTCATGCGCAGTTCGTTTTGCCGCGGTGTTCATATCACAAGACATAATTTTTAATCGTCCGCCCACGAGATTTAAGATCAAAAAGCATGGCAATCGTACCTCATCCAATATGCCACATATCAGGTCGAAAGAGAGTACCGAGCTGAAAGTTGTAGAGAAAACTAAGGAATTTGGTTTTGTTGTTAGCCAGAAAGGAGGCTGGTGGTGTTATTGATACCCATGCCATTAGTTCACTTCCACGGTACACAAAGCAGATTGAATACCTCACTCAAAAACCATCTGAAAGAGTAAAAAAGGACCCACTAGCATCTGTTGTAGAACTACAGAAAACAACTTTTCCGGGCTTTATCCGTGATGTAGTCTGTAATGATCTGCCTACTGTCATGTTATTCACTGACCAACAGTTGAACAATATCATGAAGTTTTGCTGTCATGAAAGGGTCAACCAGGTCTCTGAACTTGGAGTTGATGTAACTTTTCAACTCGGTCCATTTTATGTCCTTGTAACAAGTTTCAAGAAAACGGTCCGTCGAGTTACGGGGGCAAACAACCACCCCTCCTGTTTAGGCCCTGTCATGATCTGCATGACAAGGGATGAATCAACCTATCTGTCATTTCTTCATTGCCTGATTCGTGAAAAACCGAGTCTTGGCGAATTTGTGCATGTCACTGGCTCAGATGACGAACGTGCTCTAACAAATGCCCTGTCGGCTGGTTTCAGAAATGCATCACTTTTGTTTTGTTACATTCATTGCCAAAGAAATATTAAGGAGAAATGTAGAAAGCTTAGTGTCTTCGTCATTAGAGTCGCACATTTGACAAGACCTCTTCAAACCAAAAAGTGGGTTACTCTGGTCAAGTTCACTGGAAGAGTTTAACAAGAATGCAACACTACTCATGGACGAGTGGGACATCCTGGAAAGATCTGAGAATTCTGGTCCAGCCGCCTTTACCCAGTATTTCCGCACTCATAAGCTCGATGACATACGTACAAGGATGGCTGCTTTTGTTATGAAAGGGATTGGCCTGGAAAACAAACCGTATGAACAAAAAATCCCCGAGTCAGTGAATTACACGATGAAAGCCTTGTTGAAATTCATTCCCCAGGACATGGACAGATTCATCATCAACCTGTATGACTTTGTTCAATCATTCGACCAGGAAGAAGAAAAGGCGTGGTTTGCGATGTCAGACAAGTGGGAAGTCTCCCACCAGTTTCAACAATTCTTACCAACGAAGAGTCATGCATGCAGAGATGACCCAAGACGAGCGCAAGGCTTTCCTTAAAAATGTCAACAAAATTTGCCCCGATCAAGAAGCGTGCAAAAGGTCCTGCAATTTTAAGATAACCTCTTCGTCAAATCCCTGAGCCTCCGCACGGCAGTTAGATTGTGATCTCAGCGACCTTTCACCATTGAGTGGGTACTTTTCTAAAGAGGAACAAGCCAGTCTTCTAGATAAAGCGAAGACTGTGCTGTGCGATGACGAGTTTCGCCAAGGTTTCAAGGCCAGCGTGTACTTTGTGGACAGTAAGGGACCACTTTCTCACAGGGTGCAGTGCTTTAACAATGGAAAATGTACGTGTGATTGCACGTTTTTTGTGCGAAACAACCTTTGTCACCACTTCCTTGCTATTGCCATCCATCTAAATTGTGTGCCAAACGTTGTGGAAGCCTACCAAGGCCGAAGTCTCAGCAAGATATCAGCAGCTTCTGCTCCAAAGAATGTTAGCGGGAAAGCGCCATCCCGGAAGCGGCCTTTACCTGCATCTGAAGTTGAAGCCCACCATTCATCAGATAGAGATGCACAGAATACAGGGGCAAATTTCCAAGCTGAAGTTGTGAATCCAACAACTCTTGTTACAAGAACAGCAGAACGACCAGTGGATCTACCACCTTCTGGACCTTGTTCTTAAAAAGATTGCTGGTAACATCAAAAAGTGCGCTGGCTGCTCAAAGCCTTTCAAATCCAATGTTGTGGGTTTCCAGAGCCTAGATGATCAGATGTATTGTACTATTTGACCGCTATCATTTTTCCAACAAGGTAACAAATGCCTAGCAGTTAGTAACGTCAACGAGGCACTACAACTAAACCCTGTCTGCCCAAAAGTGTCATCAAAAATGATGCCTGATAGCAGTCTCATCGTCCCTAGTAGCCTTCGTCAACTGATGCTGGAAAGATTCCAATACGATGTTTAATTCACTAACGTATCAAACTTTGCCTATTTTTCAGCTTGCATTTTTGGAAGACAATAGTGCTTCTGTTTCTCACATTCTTTTGCGTTTGGATTAGCGACGTTGGACCTTTTGTTGAACGTTTGGAAGTTTAGTATTCTAATTTGAGAGTCGGCATTGCTCTCAAAAGGTTGACCTTATCGCACCTTTCCTTGTTTGACTGACTTCATTGTGTTTAAAGGTAACCGAACGATACTATTATTACCGACCTTAAGCTTAGGTGGAAGGTGACATAGAGGACGGTGACTTTGGCTGCGACAGCTTGGGGATTTTCGTTGCTCCATTGAGCCTATTTGAGATCTAAGTATTGCCAAATTTGCGCACGCTCCACAGTTCTTACGGCTGGTAATCTAGCCTACACAGCTCAGGGCTTGAAGCGTTAGGGCTCACTCAAGAATTCTTTAGCAAGCTGAATATCGTGATCTTCAGTCCACTCCATCTTCACTAAAATAAGAACAAATTATTTAATACGATTGGCAAGTTGCGCGCAAAAATAAGCAAGTTCCTTCATCCTGCTTTATACAGGGCTTTATTTTGTTGAATAAATGTTAAGCAATTAACACGTAATTTCATTTTGGCCTACAACTTAAGCAGAAAAAATAAACTAAAAACTTCGTGAATGAAGAAAAGGGTAAAAGCCGATGTTCAGATGGTGAGAGAATACTTAAATGTGATTAAATTATCGCTGAGAATTCTAATCCTGCAGTTGTACCACTTGCTACACAAGCTCATGTTATGTTCAATCATAAAATAGTGTTAAAGTAAGTAATTGGAAAAGGTTTACCATTTGAAGTGAACTAGACACTCCAAAAACACATTAAAGCGGTATTCTGTTAAAATAAAGATGTTTTGAGACGAAAACACGAACAAAAATCTCACGTTCTCGAGACACCGCCGCACTCAGCTTTCTCACCGTCGCGACGTGCAGACGACGTAGGTTGAACGGTTGAGATATATGCTAATTAGCCCCAAATCGAGCAACTTTTATTTCCGGTTGCCGTCCTCCACCTTGCCGTCCACTCTAACTTAAGGTCCGTATGTTTTTCTCACGTGCCCCGAAATCACTGTAGAGAATGCATTGCTGATGACTTTCAAATACGATTGAGGATTTTTTTTTTCTTGACATAATGAGACACAGAATAAAGTCAAAAATCACTTAATTCTATGGCAAGGGTCGGTAGCCAAAGGACTGTGGCACCTTTTTCGTAAGGCAAAGCCGGCTCCACAAAGCGCAAGCCTGGTTAGAGAGACTTCAAGTAAAAATTTCGTGCTTTTGCTCGTTTGATTCTAATTTTGTAGAATACTTTATTCTGTATAAAAGTAGTTTCAAAAGTCATACCAAAACTAATTTGTGAAAATGTTTCGCATACTGTCGCTTGATTTAAAAGCTGAGCGGGTTGAAGACAAAAGCGTTAAGACAATAACGTGAAAAGGCGCTAACTTTAAAAACACAAAATAACTGGCTGGGTTGGCTTAGTTTTATTACATTGTCGTGCAGGATGTTAAGTGACCTGCCGAACTTAACGTAAATTTTTCGTCGTCCTAGTCTAATGCGGTTTTCTTTGATAGTGATGTTAAACTCTCACTTCTGTATTCAACTTTTGCACTGGCTCTTTCTTCAGCTTGTAACATGGAAATCTAGCACGTTCTGTGTAGGTCTTCGCTTTGTCAGTTTTTTGGGTCTGAAAACTTGTTTGGTCATTTGAAGCGCTTAGCCTTTATAAAAATAGCCTCACCCCCTCTCCTGCTGGATCATATTTATGGTATATTTTCTCCACGCCCTACTCCCCTAAGTCGACACTTGTTACGCTACGGTGGCTTACGAAGATTTGAATTTCGCGGTCGACGATCTGGGTAGGCATCGGTGATAGGAAGGATTTACTCAACGTGTTTTATTTTGAAGTCAGGGCGTGCTTATTAGTCATTAGTGTTCAAGTAAGAAGCTTTAAGCTGGTAATTAATGACATTTTAAAGTTTAAGCTTTCAATTTTCGCGTAAAGTTTCATAGCTTTGTACTTTTCGCTTTAGCCATAACATTTTTATAAGACATTTTACTGTGTTTACAATTAGCCGCATTCAGCCCTGGCGGCTCGTGCTATTTTTCAATGCTTTGTTTTATGCTTTCTGTGCTTTGCTTAATAACGCTACAAAAGCCAACAGCGGCCTATTCATAGTACAAGCAGGACAAACCAAATGAGTTTCCGTTTCTTTCAGAAGTTTATTTAGTAGTATTAGTTGAACTTCAGTAATGATTTCTAAAAATATTGATCTTCTGAATAGCAGTTGCTCTACTTCAATTTATTTTTCTTAATTAGCCTTATTCTACAACAGAGAGGCATTTCTTTGTAACACCTTGTTAAGCGAATGTAGCTCGTCTTTAATTGAAGTATTCTTGAGCGATCACGTAGTTTCTCCGCAAATATAATAGTTCTTAATTTACTTTCGTAAATAGTGGCTTCGTCTAAATTCAGAATTTCAAACGTTTTGCTGACTTGAAAATTTGGAAAATGTCTGCTTTTGTTGAAGGTGAAAAACTAGGCAATTAGACAGTCCTGCTACGTGCCCGAAAGCCGCTAGCTGAGCTTGCAATTCTATTCATATAGCGAAGCTACGTGCATAAAAGCTGCCTTGCTGACTTGGCAAACTTTGCTGTTTGTATATCTAATGTACTCTTTTGTATTGAAACCCGAGGTAATGGTATAAGTAAGTTACTTTGTAGTGTTTTCGATTACATCGATTACACCGATTATATTTTCAACTATACCGATTGCTTCACGTGCGTGTACAAGAATAAACGCTGCTGGAACCAAGTCAGGTTTGCCTTATTCTCGGCTGCGTTCCAGTTAGTGGTTTGATCACGTTCCTAAGAGTTGTGACGGCTCTTAGCCACGAGCGAGTTGTCCTTTGAGTTTAGTTGTCCTAGTTTAGAAGACAGTTTCCGGTGTTCACACCCCCAGTTCACATCGGTAATCGCAACTTTTTGTTTCTCGAATGATAGAGTCACTTTACCTTAAACAATAAAGAAGACCATAAAACGAGCGAACATCTCTGTCATTGTTAACCCAAAATTGAAACCCAAAGTTTGATACGATTTACGTTCGGCACGTTAAGTGTCATTTGAAGCTAACTACTGCAGCGGCCCATAATGTTCAACACAAAAGAGTTGAAAGCTCTTTCGGCGAAAAAGAGACAAAAGTACCTAATTTTTAAGCTTGTTAGTATTTTTTCCAACTCAATGCTCTAATGGTGATGTCCTCTTAACAGTTGGCTACTTAGTTGCCAAGCCTTTGAATTGGAGAGAAAGGTAACCTGGTTATGCGAAAGTTGCTGCCTTTGATTCTGTCTGCGGTATTTTCCCTCCCCTCCGATCAAAACAAAGTCGCCCTTCTGAAAGATTTGGCGACTAAACACATAACTGTCAAATGAAATAAGGGGCATCGCGATCTCTAATGGACATCGACGCCTTTCTTTGTCGAAGGAGCACTATTTTTTGAAGTCTGGGACGAGTCGATGAACACGCGGAGGGATGAGCCGAACAACATGGCGGAGACAATCCGTTGCAGCGAATGCACAAGGATAAACACAACTTAGCTATAGGGTATCAGTCTTTTTCGAAGTACGCAGGTCCTCCTTTCATCGCCACAGCAATATTTGCGCAGCGTAACAGTCAAGCTTTCGCCGCCGCGAAGCAAAAAACAAACGGTAAGTCAAATCTCTAATTGTCATTTTTACTACGTCTTTTTATGAGGGGTCCGTAAAGGAAGGTCTGTAGTGGGGGGGGGGGGGGGTCCGTGGACCGGTCCGTAGGGGGGTCCATGGACCAGGTTCATAGAGGGGTCCATGGATTGGGGGTCAGTGTTTTTTGGTCGCCCTCTTCGTTTAGGGGCTTGGCGGCAAGGAGGTGAGCCTTTTTAAAATATCTTTTTGTTTGGATGCATTTCCCTGCTAGGGAATACTCCTGTAATTTTCTAACTCGTTCCCAAAGAAAAACAGGTCTGTTAAATTATTACTTTTGTGTAAAGCATGTCTGACTGTATGCAGCTTTTTGCATAATATTGATACCAAAATTAACTAAGTGGGCTATTCAACATGCCTTTCCACGAGCAACTGGTAGTGTCTTGTGTCTTGGAGTCAAGGAAATTCATCATTAACGAGGGTAATTAGAGACACCCTGTTCAAGACGCTTAGTAGTGTAACTGTTAAAAGTGTTTTAAACTCATGACCTAGGACATCAAAAGCCTTTTTGTCAAAATTAAGCTAACCCCAGGATTTTTGTTTGGGAGTTACGGATTTATGACTGAGCTTGCTTGGAGTTGAGGACTGTTAGTCCTAAATGCTCAGGAAGTATGACTTCCTTAGACTGTAATATTGTAAGATCTGCATCAACACTTTTAAATGATCCATTAGGTGGCAACCATCGAGGAGTCACACGGCAGGGTACAAAAGGGATTTTTTCTCTCAGTGCCACCCAGAGGCGATGGTTCCCCTCAGTCAAATAAGCACAGCCAGTGTGCAGGTCACAGGAAATAATCAGGGGCTCTTGAAATCCCTTCTTCGAAATGAAACGCCAGACTTACTCCAAGTGGTTAAAATCATTTCGTAGCTTTGGTGTCAGTGATCTGTCAAATTCTCTGTACTCCCATAATTCTGTTGTTTTTACCATTTGATAATCATATGTTTGGTCAAACAAATCAGACGTGTAAGATTTGGCACACATCCTTTGCTTCTCATTTTCAGTGGGCTCATCACGTTTTTGGAAAAAATAGATCTTCTGAGCTGTCTAACAGTTTAAATCGTTTTCAAATTCTTCTTCACTATCACTAGAGGGCAATCTGTCCTTTAGTGGGGCAGCAACCATTTCCTTAAATGATTTAATTTCTGGTGACTGTTCAAAGGATAGATCTTCAGTGGCTTCGTCTCTCACACTAATTCTCAGTTCTCTTGGTGGGTTGTTAAACATTGTTAAACGTATTTTAGTATTTAAACAGTATAGATATAGGCATATTTTTATCCCCTAAAATTTTTCTATCTTTTGGGATTTTCTAGCTGAAAGTCTAGTGATCCGAAAATCATAGGAATCAAAACATACCTTTTCGAAAATTTCAGCTAGAAAAAAAGGCTTCCGAAGATTCTAGGTGGCCCTTTTAGGGTAAGAATCCGTTGAAAATGGGCAATTGTACCTTTTTTTATATGTTCGAAAATCCTAGGAGAGGCAGGCAAGCACGAAATTTTGCAACGAATGTTTCGAAAATTCTATATCTCAAATCGTCTTCCGAACAGATATTTTCCGAAAATTGACGTTGGGTGCCCCTGATTTCCTGTTTGATTGTGTAGAGATGCTGTAATGTTGAAGAATGGCTTTAATGTTTGTAAGGCTAGCCTTGTTGTCTTTTAGCATCAACAACCCTGATCCTGACCCTGACAAAGAACAAAAAGCAGATCTAAGTTTATGTATTATATGTCAGGAAAAAAAATGATGAACATCTAGTTCAAAAGCCGAATTCACATGAAAAAACATTGGAGTCGATAAAGGAGTGGGCCACGTATGGTGAGCGAAAGTATGTAAGAAGTCATGACAAGCTATCCTTCTCCTCTCTGAAGGATCTAAAGGAAAAATCATCATGGCACAGAAGTTTCTATAAGAATACGGTACATTCTGGGAGGCTGAAAAGAGCCAAAGAGTGTTATGAAAGGCATTTAGAAGGCGCAAATGAGATGAGAAGAAAATCATCTGTAACAGTGGAAGACAGTCAACAAATAACACGCTCAAAAACTATCCCGTATGATAAAAATGTTTGCTTCTTTTGTGAGGGTGATGCTGGGTATAGACAAAGTCTCCATAGTGTATTGACATCTTCAGCTGGCGAATCTCTTCGTGCTACAATTGAAATGTCTTCAAATGATACACTTCGAGTAAAGTTAAGCTCTGCAATCGACCCTAGTGATGCCCACGCTATTGATATTAAATATCATGGAAAGTGTTGGGTTAATCATCTAACAAGTGTGCTACGTCGAGGGAAAACTCAAGCACCTGCAATATCTACCGATCAGCCAGTTAGTCATAGAGCAAGTAAAGCCGCAGCTCAGATCGAGTTTCTAACCATGGTTGAAAATACGTTGAGAAATGGAACAATTTTGACAATGTCAAAACTTCAGGAAGGATATGAAAGCATTTTAGAGGCAAATAACGTCGAAAACCCAACATGCACAAGAAAGGTAATAAAACAGCTCATCCAGAATGAAATACAAGGTGCCGAGTTCCACAGACCCAAAAGAGTCAACGAATCCGAAAGAGTCACCATCAAGCGTACACGTGATTTTGCTACCCAGCAGTCAGAGGGTAGTATTGATGACACTGACCAAGAAATGAAAACTCTATTTGAGGCTGCGAAATTCCTTAGAAGATCCATCAGTCAGTGCACAAACTGGGTCTTTACTGGATCATTTCAAGATTTAAACAGCAACCATCTAGCAAAGGAGCTTTACTCATTTTGTAGATGGCTGATAAGTGGGCCTAGTAATGACATTAACGCCAATAACAAGTCAAACGAAATCCACAAGCGAGCAATGAGCTTGGCACAAACTGCAGTAAGTATGTTCCTGACTGACCGACAAAAAAGCAGCACCAAGTCTAAAGTAATCAAATCTTCTAGGGACATGCATCAACAACTGGCTGCTGGCTTGGCTCTGCGACAATCTATCAGAAGCAAAGAGATCGTAAATATGCTTCATGGTTTAGGAATGAGTGTTGAGTACAACAGGTTACTTAGAATTGAAGCCCAAATAGAACAAAGTGTTCTTGAGCGCATGAATCAACATGGCGGAATGTACCTCCCCGACAACGTTGATTTTGCAAAGGATACTCATGATGGAAAACACACACTTCACGGCACCGCAGTGGCTATCTACCAGAAGACGGATCCTAGAGACACAACCCCACAGATAAGGTTAGTGAACAAGCTTTTTTAGCTCCTAAATATCTCATTGATTTAATTTCTGTTTTACCACCATCCCGTTATGATTTACGGTGATTTTAAACAGAAACTTAAGACATTTTTATTCAGCAAGGCATTGTGTTAGTACAATTAGTTTATATTTAGATTTTTATGTAGTTTTTCTGCAAATTACTTTTCTTATAGCCAATTGTAAATAGTGTAGTTTTCGTCTTTTATTCCATAGTGATTGTAAACAGGTTCTTATTTTTGTATTTTTTGTAATGTTTGTAATGCGCATTTGATTATTTATATAGAAAATGCGCAATATAAATGTTATTATTATTTTGTCTCGCTGTTAGATTGGATAGTCAACCAAGTCAAGGTCGCACATTACGCAACCTTCCCGAATCAATTCCTGTGCTAATGGAATGTCAAGAACCTCCCAAAACACCCAAGAACCCAGTTTACCCCAACTTCAGGCTGTATGATGAAGATGAATTACCTATTGTTGTTAGACGAAAAGAGTTTGCATGGATTCTAGGGCGCAGCTTATCGAGCCTCTCGCATCAGGAAACACAAGAACCTGAGGAGTTATGTAATGCAACACAAGTTCCTGTTTGGTCTGCATATAATTCCCTTAGATATGACCCTCTAGATACCACAAGAAGTGCCACACCACCTCTCATTGCATCCCCGGCACATGAATGGAGTACGTTACTAACAGAGTTAAAGCAGGCACAAAACATCAACACGTTAGTGGTTGGAGCTGATAGAAAGACCATGGTGACACTTGATTTAGGCCTTTATCAACCAGTAAAAATACTTCAGATGGCAAGAGATGATATGGATCATTTAATACTTCGCTCAGGTGCGATAACTAATATTTTACTAGCTTTACTGGCTTTGTATTCAATATGATCGGAGCTGACAACACCGGCAGCTTCTCAGGAAAAGGAAAATTGGCATGCTGGAAAGTCTTCAGTAGAGCTGATTAAGATGTAATTACTGCTCTCGCAAACCTTGGAACAACGGAACACCCAGATGAAGATATCATAAAGGAAGTTGAGAAGTTTGTCTGCTATCTATACCAGCCAAATACAAGCATTTGCAAGGTGAATGAGCTAAGGTGGTCGTTATTTAAGAACAAACAAGCGAAATCGGAGAGATTACCACCAACCCATGGTGCTTTACGTGAGGCCATTCTTCGAGCACATTACTATCCCATCACCAGAAAACTATGCATGGCAGAAAGACAGCGACGAGTAGCTGCCTGTGATGACGACAACTCGACAACTGTGTGCTTGATAGTCTCCCTTTCAGTCTTTCATTTCGTGTACCGACAGGATTCCTCTATCTGCACTACTCTTAACTTTGGAATTGATTGGACTTCGGCTGTATCACTCAATGAGCCACGTCCTAAATCTGTGTAACCAGGCCACTGCCCTCTTTAATCAGTTCCCATGATGAATGGAGCTCGATCAAACTTGAAAGAACATCTCCACATCTTTGGTGGCGAGACGATGATTGGCTGTTAGACTGAGTTTCACCTTTGATCTCTGGATCGTCATCGGATAACTCCGGTTCATGAAGTGTGGATCACGAGGCCAAAATTCATCTTTCTTGGTTAGAAACTGAGAACCATTTAGCTACTTGATATTTGCACAATCTCGTCTACTGTGAGGCCTCTGCTAACTTCATCAGGCGGGTTTAGCTCAGAACTTACGTGTCTCCACTGGTGGTGGGCTGAATTCTCGTGAATAACTGAAATTCTGTTTGCAACAAACGTGTGAAATCTCTTAGGCTGATTTCTGATGTACTACAACACGCAGGTGGAGTCTGACCAATATGTTGATTGTGTAATCGGAACATCCAATTCCTCTCGAACAGACTTGTCCGACTTAACAGCTAAGACTACCGCCGAAAGTTCCAATCTCGACACAGTCATAGGTTTCAGGTGTGCTGGGCGAGATTTTACGAGACCGCTCCCTATGCTATCTGCGACGCGTCTGCGAAGTTGTGCAACTGTGCAACTTTCAAGTCTCCAAAGTACAACGATTTAATGCATCTTCCAAGCGAGATCCAAGCGAGACTGGGTAATTGACTCTTCCACTTCTCCCATCTCTCACCATCTTCTTCACTGATTGGGTCGTCCCATCCAGTTTTCTTTTTACAAAGATAGGCAACACTTTCTTTAACGTGAGAACGACTGGCGCAACCAACCCAATTGGATCATAAACAGAACTCGTCATCCTGAGTGTTCCCCGACAGGTATTTGGTCTGTCTCTTAGGGCAACCTTGAAAGTAAACTCGTCCTTTTCCAAATCCCACTTCAGCCCCAACGTACGTCCAGGTCTTTGTCCCGGTCAAGGCCAAGTACTGACGGGGCTCTCTCAACTCGGGAAATACAGTCCAAGACCTCTGAACTGTTACTTAACCATTTGGTTAATCGAAATCCTCCTTTGGAGCTTCTTAGCTGATGCATAAATTCCACAGCATTTTTTGCAGATTTAACCGATTTGAGGCAGTCATCGACGTAAAAGTTCCTTTTAACTGTCATGACCACTTCATCCGCGAATTCGCCTTTATTGTCTTCTTGCTCTCCTTTTCAACGCAAAGTCACGAGGACCCGCATACGACTTTCTTTTGCACAGCACATGACGCCGGTGTTGTTAAGGACCCTAGGTTTTGAGTGACAAGCGATGAGCCTCCTACTGCGAAAAACAATTAGTTTCTTCACCGTTTGATCCAACCATCAGTGGTCAGTTATTTGATAAAGCGTTACATTTTTTAACAAGATTAAGGCGGCGTCTGGCGATAGAGTAATTAGAGAAGAGATTACAATTTAACATATGCCTGAGATTTGCGTTCTCAGCTCACGAGTTATCCAGAATAATTGCGCCTGGCTACGACTCAAGCGTTGTCTTTCTGGTCTTTGCCAGTATTAAAATGTAGCGTAGTTCCATATTGTATCGTATGTATTGAAGGTCGCGGAACTCAAATAGAATCGGACGAATGTTGCTAGATAAAAGCGTTGGTTCAAAATGTTCATTAGGTATAACCCGCAGTCCGTTTTGCACACAGAATACTACTCATCGTAAAGGAAAGATAGATGCCAAAGCAAATTGTAATCATTGATCTCCGAGGCTTTGTGTGTGCAGATTTAACCATTTTTTTGGCCTGAGCTTGCTAAACTGCAGTTTCCGCAGTGAATTGCTTCACGCACGCGCTGGTGCGTTGTGCTTGTACTTTTATGGCCTCTCTCTGATGGAATCTTGTCCATTCAACGCACTATAGTTAAAAATTTAACCAAAGCAATGGAACTAATAATTAACTTTTTCTTTATATGGAAGAAGTGTTAGTAGTAACTCGGGCTAAATTCCTAAAGATGTCATAGTAGAGGCAGAAAACACAAAGGCCAAGCGATCAAATGGATTCGGTTGGATAGCGAAATCGTCATCCCGCCAAAACGTGTCCAAAGCCCGCCAAAAAATCTCGCCGCTGCCGCTATTTAACTCGTTATCCAGTCAAGAAAAAGCTATGTATTGCAGGAAAATGAAATCGCTTGCACACAGAAGAAAATTAAGGGTTAATATGTCTGACATGTTTTAGCTCGAGTAAGCGAGTGTTATTGTAATACCATGGTGATCTAAACTCCCAAGTGCAATTTTTAAAGCAACAGAAACACTCGGCAGGGGCACCCAACGAGAATATAGTTCAAAACTTAAACGTAGCATTGCTAAACGTATTTTAGTATTTAAACGGTAGATATTGGCATATTTTTATCCCCTAAAAATTTTTCATCTGTTCGGATTTCCTAACTGAAAGTCTAGTGATCCGAAAATTATAAGGATCAACACTTGCCTTTTCGAAAATTTCAGCCAGGTAAAAGGCTAGCGACAAGGGCGACTAGGGGTACCTTCCGGCAAGTGCCAACGAGGCGAATTCGTTTATCTTTCGTGGGATGTGCATATTCAGATCTTCGCGATATTTTTTTCATAATTTTAGAGGTTTAAAATGGATTCCGAAAAAGAAAAGGATGGCACCCAAGTTCAAAACAGCAACTTTGGCACATTTAAGGCTTTCACTTTTATTAAACAATCACAACATGGCTTGAAGCTTTGTTGGTAAAATGAGCAAGTTAGCACTTATGTTTCTTGGAAAATTCCATTGTAGCAAAACTATAAACGTTAGAAAGAAAGATATAGTTTAAATGAGGTCTTTGACTGCTGAAATTAAAAATAATAATTAAATTCAGAGCAACAGCGTCATCAGGGATAGGAAAAATATTTTGCGTGGTAATATGCACCAGGAAAAATTGGTATAAAGTAAAATGTGTGAACAGCGCAAGAACTGGGCGGAATGTATCAGAGGTATAAAAATATAAACTTGAATAAAATACAAAGATCTAATGAGCGAGTCTCTTAGGACAAAGAGTCTCTTGAAAGGCGTAATGAAACGAAAGGTCCGCAAATTCGTTGCATTCCCCACGGGAAGTTTGAGCTGTCTAAATGTAAATCGAGCAGCAAAAAAAACGTGCTGGTTGACAAAATCTCTCGAAAGACATAAATAAATTCTATAAAAAAAGGCCCGCAAATACATTGCATTCCTCATGGGAGGTGAGGACTGGCTCAATGTAAATTGACCTGGGAAGAACACGCTGGTTCTGATAAAAGTTTTGGGAATATAACCCTATGCCTTGATCAACTACCGCTTAAAATTCAATTCACAAAGGAAAAGAGAACACTGAAAACCCTGGTTCTGAGTCGAAAAGCGAAACACGCTACCTCAATGTAAATCGAGCTGCAAAACACAAGCTG